ATTATAATTTAAAAAAAATTTAAAAAAAAAAAAAAAAAAAAAAAGTTCAATGCGTAATACGTACGTGTCAAGGCTCTTTTATATAAAGTCTCATTTAGAAAATGTTCTTCTATACATTTCCTTCTAAGTTTTGGATAATTTCGAAGCCTAAGATGTGGTTGATAGTACTTTGCCTCATAGCTTTGCTTGTTATAAGGTTGAGCCATTGGATTTATGCTTGGCAGAACCCAAAGTGCAGCCAATGGGAAGTTACCTCCTGGCTCTATGGGTTTCCCCTTTGTTGGGGAGACCATTGAGTTTATCTTAAATAGAGAGGCAATCCGTGTTCCCCCATTTGTCCAAAAGAGACTTGCGAGGTATTTACCGTATCTATTTAGCCAATTATTTATTTATTTATTTATTTTTAACTTGTAGTTAGGAATTTATGACCTTAATGTAGTAAAATAGGTGTGGAATCACCCTTAGAGTGTGTTTGGTTGGGTGGAAAGGAATGAAATAGAATGAAATGAAATTGTAGTTTGATGTTTGGTTGGATTTAAAATAAATGAATGATCATTCACCCATTTTTGGTGAATCATCATTCCTTCCTCATATAGGAGGAATGACCATTTTAAGTTTTTTTTTTCCATAATTACCCTTCAATATTATAATATAATTAAAATATATTATATAGTAGTTATATTTTATAATATTACAATTATATTAATAAATTTAATAATATTATTATATTATATATCATAATTATATTATATATTATATAATAATAATTTTATTATATTATATTACATTTTACATATTATCTTAATTATATTGATATATAAAATATTAATGTTATATATAATATAAAGGTAATTTTGTCAATATGAAAATATTCATATTTCATTCTATAGTATTCATAAAATTACAACCAAATAAATGAATCAATTTTCTTTTCCATTCTATTACTATTATCATTATCATTCTCATTACTATTATCATTCCCCTACTTTAATCAAACGCACCTTGGTTAACGAATTGGAGACTCTCCATTGTGGTTGTGGTACATTCATGGCATACTTTATTGAGTTTCTGAGCAATCTACTCTCATAATTTAGTAAATGATAGTGGGGCAACCCAATCCTCAAAAATGACAGCATGATAGTGATATGACATGTTTCAAGGTGCATGCCAAATTGTATTCATGTCCTGCATCGCCTCTCTTCTCATATACCACCAAAGAAAAGAAGTTAACGAAAAGGCACCCACGTAAGGAATTATTTCATAGTTTGATTCTATTATTTTCCCCTGAATCCCTTCATTATTTAAATTTATGAGATCAAAAAACATTATGATCAGTAGCGTTCTCCACTAGTATTTCGATCGATCGCTATTCGATAAACAAAACCCTTTTTTGTATTGTAAATGAGTCTCCATTAGTAATATTTTTCTTTTCTTTGTTGTGACCTATGACCCAACAAGGTAAAGTCTCAATAATCGAGTTAGAGGGGTGAATTTTGTTTGGTGAGTAGAATATTTTATCTTGCCTACTCTTCTTTTTAATTAAAATCTTGTTCATTTTACCAATTTAAATTTTTAATTATAATTTTATTATAATTAAAAATTTTCATAAAAAATCACGTTTAATTTAAAATTTATATAAAATTATATTTTAATTTAAATTAAAAATTTAAATTTACGAAGTGGATAAGACAAGGGTGACTTTCCACCGAACTTTTTATCTCATTAGCTCACGGAGCAGCCGTACGTTCGTTTAGCATAAATTAGGTACAAAAGTCTAGTGATGTTAAATTCCAAGGAAATTCAGCTTAAAAAATTGAAAAGAAAAGGGCCAAGCTCTTGAGAAACGATCTAGTGGAGGAAGAGAAATACAGTATTGGTGGACTACGGACGTAAGTGTCTCATCACTAATAGTGATGCACAGGATTATTTAAAGCAAACATGATTTGGCAAGTACTAGCCACCGTCTTCTTATATTATTACTATTTTTTTCAAAAAAAAAAGTACAAGCCACTGTCAATGACATAAACCAAGAGTGTGTTTTAAGTTGCATTTGATAGATAATTCTAGAACTGAAGTCTATAATTTTGATTCCAACTTTTATTTATTTGTAAAAAGTAATAATTCTTAAAAACAAATATTTAATTTAGATAATTCTGATTCAAAATTTAAATCCTGACGTAATGTTTTAAATTAAAACTACTCTAAAAAATAAAACCACCCCCTTTTGATTTTAAATGGTTTAAACCCCTAATTCTGATTCAGATTCTAGAACCATAGTTTAAAACACATGTTTAAACCATGAATTATTATTTTAATTTAAACCCTCATACTAAACAACTTTTATTCTGAACAGAAATTCACATTTTTATGATGAAAAACAATGTATCAAACAAAGAAATTGTGAATCAAACCTATAAATTAAACGACATCTAAGCAAATGCAAAGTCAGAAGGCAAAAGGCAAAACATGAACAAATAAAATAATGCCAATTTCAATCAATAAAGCCCTCCCTTATTAAACCGAGAAAATAATATACGGTATTTGATTATGTGTTAATAAATAACATCGCAAGTATGCTTCGTACTTTCTTTTATGTTATTTTTATTTCTTTGCTATAACATACTATTCTACAAAATTGTCAAACTTCCGCCTCAGATTTTTTCAAGAGAAACAATAAGAAATTAAAAATTAAACAAGTTAGACGATTGGGAAAACTGAGGCTCAACCCTTTTGTCAGATTAAAGCAACGCCTTGTCTTATGCCTTGCCCCTGAGAATTGATGACGTTTATCAGCAAAACTATCAATATTAAGACTAAAACAACTTTGTTTTGCAAGTCAAATTAATCCTTGGACGCTACAAAACGAAAATAATAATTAACCATGACAGTTTGATTGTTCTCTTTTTCACCAAGGACTCGTCTACTTTGCAAGAAAGGAAAAGGAAAAAGAGAAGGGATTCCCTTTTTCGTCTATCATCCATTCACAGACAATCAATAACGAGAGTTAAGCATATCCCACACGATACAGGGAATGGGAAAAAGAAATGGCTAATCCTCGCACTCACTTAGTATTTTTTGCCAAGTAGAGAGAATGAATGCCAAATTTACTTAGACAACCTTAACAAATTCACGTATTAGATCATCTCCAATGCAAATGCTAATACCAATTGTATATTTGACACAAAAAAGTATGACAGGACATGTTATTTTCATTTGTGCTCCAATACATAATGTTATTTGAAATGCTAAAATGTACTTTACTATATTTATTAAGTTTTAAAAGTTATAAAAGTAAACTTTTAATTTTAAAGTAATTTGAAAAAGCAAAAGTTATAATGATAAAATGAAAAAGTAACCATATCAACCAATAAGAATCAAGTGTTAAATTTGCCATATGCTCTACTTGGTGGGAAGTAGCCAAAACAGTATAACATGTGACAAATTTAGCACAACAAATAACATTGTATTGAAGAGTGTTTTTTGCACTCAAATATAAATTTACAAATGACACATTACAACATTGCGTTGGAGATGATCTTATAAGCTAATGATTCTTTAATTATGCAAAGCTAGTCCAGTTTCTATTCATAAGTTTAGTAAACACTAGTAAGGGAATAAGCTTGTTTCCTATTACACTATTTAATGACCGTCATTCTTATTCCTTTATTTATTTCCAATCCCATTACCTTTTCCATTACATTCCTATACAATTTGATAAACGCGCCCCTAAAGGAGAGAGTAGCTGCATTGAGTCTAAGGATTGTTTAACCACGTGGTATGTAGCTATGCAAAACCTTACCTTTTAACATAGGAGTCGTCCTCAGTATCAATAACTATAGTGTCACCAACAACAACATGAGCTGGTACCTAGGAAGTGTAATACAAAAAGTCGAGTATATTAGACTCAGAAATCACAATGTAGTAAGCACAGTAATCTTCGTTGTTATTCATACTACTACACCATATTATAAGCAACTGTGCTCCTTTAGTTATTATTGTTATTTAAAAAAAAAAAAAAAAAAGAGGTTGCATAAAACAGACACTTCAGGAATGAATGATAATCAGCACACAAGATGGACTAGGGGGATATTTTTCATCTAAACTTGATCTTAAACATGAACGTTTTCTCCCATTGAGATTTTTCAACAAAATAAAAGTATCATCTGAAGACATCCTCCCGAGAGCTCAATCTCTATTAAACACAAATGTGAAAACAAAGAAACAAAAAAGTACACTCCCACAAACACGGCAATTTCTAGTAAACACAAATGGTATTTAACTTACTTTGATAGAGAGGCCATTTTCCAGCACGGCAATTTTCTCCCTGCATAAGAAAAAGGCATTCAAAGGAAAGCAAAAGCAAAATAAGAGATCATATGGAAGAATCTGGTAACTGAGCATTGTTAATTGCAAGAACCAAGAAACTGTACCCGCTTAGAAAGTTTAGAGACAATAACTATGTCGTATATAGTTCTCCTTTTCTTAATGAAAATCTTCAAGGGGGAAATTATTATTAAAGAAAGAAAATAAGATACAAAGTTGAGCATGGACAAAAATAACCCAAAGAAAAGGAGAAACAAGCTTAACATCTGAATATATTAATGTTCTAAACAAACAATATCCTCAGTCACCAGTCAAGAAACGAACTAGGGATGAATGATTGCCAAGCGAGATTTTTTTTTTCTTTTTTTTTTTTTACAGGAACTAAGAAAATTTCACTAACAGATGAAAAACTTTACAGAAGTTCTTGGACGGGCGAGAGATAATTGCTAGAATGAAGAGAAGAATTTACCGGCCCACCAAACTTGACCTAAAAACAATTTCAATTTTTTGAGATCAGAAAAGATTCGTACTTCTTCTCTTTCTTCTTTCTCCTCTCTTCCAAAATTAACTATGCGGTACTGAGGGGCCAAAAAAATAGTTGCACATGCATAACATCAAGCACCTTACAACCTATCCACAATCCTGTTTTCCCCCTTTCTCATAAGAAAATCCTTTAGTCATTTCACCATCTTTCCCAGAAAAAACCAAACCATAGACCAAGAAATTTCCAATTTATCAAAAACATAATGCCAAATAGGCTTTCAACTTCTTAAAAACTAATAGCCTTCCTGATGTAGGATCAAAATAAGAAAGATGATAGAGATAGAAGAATAGACTTGAGATAGAGACGAAAGCCACAAGAGAAAGAGAGAGAGAAACAAGAACTCGAGAGAGATAAACCACAAATTTCAATATTCATTAACCATTGCCTTAATTGAAATTTCAATGCTGCTTTATTTATAAGAAAGGCCCCGTTCATTTCGCTGATTCGAGTTTAGAATTCGAGTTTTGCTAAAAGCTCTCACAAACAATCACATCTAACTTTTTTGCTACAGTAAAAAGCTCACATAAAATCACATCTCAACTCGAATTAAAAACTCGAATCAGCGAACTAAACGGGCCCTAAATAACAAAATAGGAGACTAAATCAACACAAAATATGGAACTCAATAAAGGGAAACTACAATAATAACATAAATCCCTAATTAATAAAATTAAATAAATAGTTTAATGTTGTTCCGCATCAATGCCACAAAGCTAAGACCAATGAAAGAATATGTCCTAAATCACTACTATATGAATACTTCCTCAACAGCACCTCATCCGTACGTTCCAAAGACATGTATAAATAAATATATCTATCTATCTTTTAGTATATCACAAAAATTATTAAATTCAAACCCTAGGAGCATTATCATTATGGTGAAAAATTTTGCAATTGTGGAGAGCAGTTTATTCATGCAGGTTTTATACATCAAGGAGTAAGAACAACTGAGAAAAATTGAAGAAAAGTTGGGCTCATATATCGTGAAATCATGAAAAAAAAAATTAGTAAAGTGCATAATACACAAACAGACCTAGGCGTCACTCCAATTCCCTTCACGGGAGGCTGTGCATCCTTCACAGTGCATGTTGCGTGCTTTGGAACTGATGCAGATAAAGGAATTCCGTTATAAACCTCCACTTTAACCTTCATGTCATCTGTTGACAACAAATATCAGTTTAATTGAAAAACAATTACAATCACCAGATAGGTGTTTTAAATTCTAGAATAAATAATCCAAGAACGAAGAAACAAAAGAAGGTATGAAATATAATGCAAGTCAACCTTGTAGATACTTGGCCTTCTTTCCAAACAAGTCTGTATGCACTTCCAGCTGATCAAGGGTATCAGGGCTGGTAAGAATAACAAAGACGAAGAACATACATTAAACTTGAAAGAAGCAGCCTTAGAAGTTCAGAATAGAGGGAAGAAAATCAAAACTTAGAACTCACTCCATCAACAACATTTTGCCATCACGGTCCGTACACATATAAATGTAACTTTTCACCTCAACAAACACTTCTGCAGCAAATAATTCATATGAGATCTAATACAAAAATAGTCACTCAACTGATCTTCAACTAGACAACTATCAAGGGAACTAAACATTCTAAGCCAGTTGATCAATCTAAAATTCAACCATCCACACAAATGACGCGGGAGATCAATAGGAAGTTACATGAGTTCTGAATCATACTTTCAACTGCTTCATCTGTACCAAATCGCTGGATTACCTTGTTTCCACAATCAACATCACGAAGCTCGACCTGCATTTAGAGCAGCTCAAGTTTCATTTTGAAAGTAAACAATAGTTACGAATTCATCATAATGAATATGCAGAAATACTAGCACAACCATCGCAGTCAATGTTATAAATGACAACATCTAAAAAAAATAAGTGAATAAAATTGTTATGCACATCATAAGGACTTAACCAAAACAATTAAAAAATAAAAAATACCTGTTCAAAACTGTTACTACAATAATAATGAAATTATTATACAACCAAGCACCTTAAGAACAAAATCGTAAATTGATGACCGCTTTCAGCAACATTAACAAAGTTTCTTATCTAAAAAAAATCCAAACAACAAGATCTGGTTTTGTACTCCTTGCAGTTTCACCAAATAGTACAATTTGTCACCGTATTTGCAGTTTCCTTTCGCTGATCCTAGGCTCTTTTTTCATCATTTCCCAAGTGGTTCTTTCTCTTTCATGGTAACAATCATTACAAAAATCTATATCCATTTCCAACTCCAACTTTTTTCTTTCCGCGTGCATCCTCCACCACAGGGTCTCCAATGCAGTGGTATACGTGATAATATTTTTGGAATTGGGATAATCATTATGAGCCCGTTTGTTTCATATACTCAAACTCAAATCATTGATTCTGCTACTGTTAGGATCCGAGTTGTTTAGCTAATAAGATTTTCCAACAATTCCAATAGACTGAAATCCAACTGATAGCCTTTTATTGAATTAAATCACTTAACAAACAGCCAAGAGCTCGATGGAAGCTCTGGTATTCAACAATGAAGGAAAAAGAAACAAAATACAGGAAAATTAAGATAGAGAAGGATTTTTGAGGAACCCTCAACCTCCCAACTAGCAGCTTATCCACCAGAATCACGAGACCCCTTACTGCCTCCATACTCCCCTAATATTCTCCCATGCTCTAACCGTCCCCCCATGTCAGCAGCTCCCGTGTCAGACCATTCTCGGATCCCCAGGTGGGCTTCCCACCTCCTTAGGCTGACCCACTTCATTTAGGTCTGGGCCCACAACATTACCCCTCTTGGCCCTTCTCACATAGACTTTCCTTACCGGGGGCCTAACATCACTCCCCCCCTCGAAGACAACCTTGTCCCCAAGGTTATAATTAGAGATTGTGCCTGAAACACGTCCAAGAGCTCCCACGTGGCCTCCCAATCCTGCAAACCTTTCCATTTCACCAGAATTTCAGCCACAAGCCTTCCGCCTAAGGGTGTCCACCGACCCCGGACGACTTCAGAAGGCTCGACCTGCAGTTCCAGCTCATCCGAGAGTTGAGGCGGAAGAGGCTGACATGTTGAATCATGTTAGGATCCTAGGACTCCTACCGTTAGATCTAGCTGAGTACGTAATAAAAGATGAGATTGGAAGAAGGAAATGCCTCTTAGATAAACTTTCTCATTAATTGGAATGAA